GGGGTCATCTCAACCTTCTCGTTTGATCCTAACCTCGAGTCATGGCCGTAGAATCTCCATCGAGGGGAGGCCAGCGGGCCACCTGAGTCGGTGTCCGGAATGACCTGAGCATTTGCTGGGACACGGGTTAAGGAGCAGTGAAATGCCACATAAGGGCTATGCCGACCCTGTCACGAACGACGGACTCGGATTCCACTCGAACGTACCTGTTAGCGAGCTCACTGAGCGCGTCACTCGAGCCATCGAGGCAAGTGACATTAGCTCAGCCCCTCCGGTTGCGAAAACCACGGACGGGGTAACACATGGAACTAGACCGACCCCTACCGAGCCCAACAGGGCTTAGGGCTCAGGTCACCCGACACCGACTCGGGAAATCAACCGACCGCGCAGGTCGTGGGCGGGACAAACACGGGCGAACACCCCGAACGATAGTCAGCGACCCCAGGAAAAGAGTACCAAGATGCTCAGCCTTCAACCGACTCACCAGTCGAACGTAGACTCGGGGGCTACACCTGTGGGTGCGCTCGCGTACACCCGCTATCAAAACGAAAAATTCCACCGCTGTCAAAATGAAAAAAAAACCAGACAATTCTACCCGAAATGCCCGAGGGCTCAGGGGCTACACCCGTGGGTGAGCTCACGCACACCACTGTCAAGACAAAAAATCCCCAGATGATTCTACCCGAATCGCCCAGGGGACTTGAGGGCTCCTATCGGGTTCATAAACCCGGGGTCCCTCATGGACCTACTTTCCAACAAAAGCGTCGGCCCAGCAGACGATGTTGCGAATGACGCGCAACTCCTAGGCCAGCCCAAAAACCTAACGACAGGCCAGAAGGGCGATCCAGTCTCGACCGGAAGGCCTAGCCAAAGAGGAACGAGGCTCGCTTCCGACTACGACCCGCATCTCCGACCGGAAGGCCTGGCCAAAGAGGAACAACGCTCGTTTCTGACTCCAGCCCACCTCTCCGACCGGAAGGCCTAGCCAAGGAGGAACGTCGCTCGCCGACTCCAGCCCGCTTCTCCGACCAGAAGGCCTGGCCAAGGAGGAACAACGCTCGCTTCCGACTCTGGCCCGCTTCTCCGACCGGGAATACACCGAACCTCTGCTTATAGCTCTTCTCTGACCGAGAGGCCGGAGCCGACTGGGGAACGACCAATCGGGGACGCCCGCTCCGTGAAGACCTAGGAAACGGACAGAGCAAGTAAGCGGGGCGCTCCAGTCAACTACGGTACCAAGGACCGTACCCTGCACACCTGCAGGATAGTACTATCAGTTCATGTCAGAAGGGTACTTTATAACCTTTCAGACATGTCAGAACACCAATAGTGTTGTGGGCGCCGATATTTGACCTACAGTATAGTAGGCGCCGACATTTGCCATACCGGAAGAACACGGTGGAACCAACCACATGCATCCAGCCATCAACAGTATTGTGGGCGCCGACAAACCACCTTGTACCCGACGACGTGGGCAGAAAGACTAGGTAGCACACACACTCTCTTTCTCTCACACTCTCTCTTGTAAAGCCGTCCCCTTCATCTATAAAAGGTGATGCGCTCTCTCCAAAAGGAGGAGGATTGGAACAAGTCGAAGGACGATTCGGACGATTCCAACAAACAATAGATGGATCATTCTGACTCACTCTCTGCTAGCTTTGGACATTCCAAAGCCACACAGAGCACACGCTTGAATACTTAGCGCACGTCGGAGCTCCCGTCACTCTTGGCCTTTCGGTTCGGAGTCCGACCAGACCTCTGATACCCCCCATCTTAGTCCCTCTACTATGTAACCCCACAGCAAACTTCGAGCATCTGGGCTCAGGAATAAAGTCACCGACCGACTCAAATTAGACGTCGAGGGCACGTTGTCTGAACCAGTATAAACCCTGTGTCATTGAGTGTTATGCCACATCCGATCACAACGTACGGCAAAACGACAAATATTTACTAGTTGGTTACTTTTCGCACCGACAGGTTGCCTGTTCGGCTGGTTTTCTGTCTTTCTTCTACTTTCTAGACCCTGGCATCATGTGACCACGTCACCTACTGTCAGACTCGGGGACTAAGTGGGCACACTTCACCTCACGGTGAGTGTGTTTTCTTTAATCTGTTCATTGGAAGACTCCATGCCTCCCGAAGTTGAAGAAGGTTATCTCCCTTTCTCGTGGTCGGACTCTAAGTGGGCACACTTGGTTTACAGCGAGAAATTTTTTGATTTTAGACTTGAGCTCCTTACATCCTTCTAGAAAGCCTTACTTGGGTAAGCCCCGGCTCGGCCGGACAGTTAAGCTGGTCGGTTACGGTCCACAACTGCTCGACGACTCATTAGGGTGGTCAAACTATGAGCCTGACTGCTCGGCTTTGTTTACACCTGCTCGGATAAGCTTAAGACGGCGTTGCACAGCGGATACAAGGCGCTCAGGGACTAGTTGTGGTGGGTACGACCCCGGATACCCACTGCAGACTACATGGGCTGCGCTGTCAAGGGTGGTCCAGCCCACAAGACGAAGACTTACGGTACACGGTGTTGCTCGACGTGTACCGCAAGACATCAAGGGTGATATCCTGGAGATGCTACGAGATCTCTTAGGATATGCTCGATCCCGTGATTCCTGTAACCTGTTATTACTTACTGGTTATCTCCTAGATCTAACCGACTTTTAACCCTACTCCTGGCTATATAAGACGGGTAGGGGGCTCCCTCAAAACACACGCAATATCATACGATAGCCAATACAAACCAACAGACCACAGGAGTAGGGTATTACGTCGTGCTAGTGGTCCGAACCTGTCTAACTCTTGTGTCTCTGTTGCCTTCTTATTCTTGATTACGCGCACCTCTATCGATCAATCTACCTTCATGGGATATTCCTTAAAAAACTGTCGATGATATTTTGTCGACTGAGACCCATATATACAGATCACCATACAAGTGGGTCCGAGGTGTTCCCATGACTTTGTGAAGATAGCTCATCAGCAATGAGAAAAATGTTGGTGCTGTCTGCGTTTGATTTCAGCCAGCCGGTACCAGTGGAAGTGGCTAGTGACGATAAACCTGAGACCCAAATAAATACGATAAGCGTAGATATAGATATAGATAGACATAGATTATGTGCTGATTTATCAAAAGATGTTAGAAAGAAAAAAGAAATGAAAAAAAAGAATGATATACGCTTTTATTTAGTGGCCCTGGAGAGACAGCTGGATGCCTATAATTTATACCGAACTATATACGACAATATAAGTTTATCTCTTCTCGATGCTACTAATTATCTATTTTTTTCCTTCTTCTAAGAGACAGCTGGATAGATCTAATAAAAGCCAATTAACTCGGCCCAAACCCACATCCCGCCACACCCATACGTTTCTTCATCTCCCTCGCAGCGCCGGCGCACACAGCCTGACAGCCGCCGCCGTTTCTTCGTCTTCCTCGCAGCGCCGGCGCTCCATCTTCCGCTCCCATCCCCACTCGCGCTCGGCACGCAGGCGACGGAGGCGGCGCTCAGTCTCGGGCTCTCAGCGACGGCGGGGCAGTCCCAGGTTCGGCGGCGGCGTCAGCGGCTCCCTCTCCCGCCTCTCGCCAGTCGCCTCGCGCCCTCGCCTCCGTCCCCCGCACACCGGCCGGCGACCCTGCGTACTCACCTCCCTCTCCCCTCCCGCCTCCTCTGGATAGTCGACGGCGCCCGGCCCCTGCGGCTGCGCTGCGCGCCGCGCGCGGCCGCCGGGCAGAGGGAGCCACCCTGCCGCTGCTCCACTAAGGCGGTCGCGCCGCTTTGGGAGCGCTTATGCCCCATAGCGAAGCTCTACGCGTCCGCTTAGCGCTGAAGTGTGCGCTTAGTGCCGCTTTTTGGAACCCTTTTAAAGATTTATCGGTACTTTCAAATAGCTGTGATGTCAAGTATAACCAATGCCAAGCAAGCATAACACAGTAGGATTTTCAAGTTTTAGCCACAGGATTGCAAATTGCAGTATATATATTTTTTGCTTATTATGTTCTAGAAAATATAATCTTAAGAAACATTAGCATAGGGTATTTTTAATCCCCCGTTCCAATTGAGTAGCTGATATTTTATTGCACGCTCTGAACTTCGTGATGTCTTGCTGATTGTGCTCATTGGCTAGACTTGTTTATGTAATGTTTCGTTTACCTTATTATGCAGTATTGTTCAGATACACAGAGACTTCTTTCTTTGGGTTCTTGATCTCCTGACATGTCTAGCTGTATAGGACGATCATGTTATTCTGCTCATCTACAATCATATCAAACTACTAATTGTTGTCATGGTTCAGCTACCTGTCATGTTTGCTCTGAACTATCCATTATCTAGTTTGGAGGACCAATCTGATGCACTTTTCAAGAGAAACTACTCATAATTCTCCTTCAGAGAGTGGAGTTCTAGAGGTCCTGTTTGTTTGTGTTTAAGAGTCAGGAACTACACATCTAGTACCTGCAGGTCTATGGCCAGTTTATTCTCCATCCCCTCTCTTGTATTCCCTTCCTGTCCCCTCTCCTGTAGTCAAATTGTCTGGTCACTTGGTCTGATTGTGGAGGGGGAGCCAGTAGCTACAGCAGGTTGCCTGCCTGCTGGAGTGTTTGGCTTATTGGAAATCTAGAAAAGATGAGCAAAATGGCACAATGCAAGAACGAAGGGCAATTTTAATGCTAGTGCTATGTTGCTACTGCTTTTAATATGCCTTTTTTTATTTATAAAAAACTTTGTGTGTGAAAAAGCAGTATCCATATCCTCCCTATACCCATACATGTATATTTATCCATGCTGCATGGTGTTTATAGTTTATAATACATAGGTGCCAAGAGCCTGTACTTTATCTATGTGTGCAACATTGATTGTTTTGCATGTCTCGTTTTATAAGGCTAATTGATCTTTTGTAGCTTTTGTATCCTAATGCATAACTTTAGAAGCTGTATACAATTAAGTTATTGTGATTATTTTGACAGGATTTTGTTGTTTTGGCAGACTAATTCTCCAGGAAAGATGAGCTTGATATCCCAGAACGCGGTCCAGAAGCGCCGCCTCAGGAAAAGTGAAGCTGATGATGGGAATGACGAGGACATTGGCTCTCTGACCACCATAGATGCAGAGGTTGGGAAGGAAGCAAAGTTGAAGAATTACAGTAAGGAAAGGAAGAAGAAAAGGACTAAGGTGCAGGAGTCCCAGCAGAACAAAGAGGAAGAGGAGATGCGGCAGCTGGAGAGCTCATTGTTTGGTTCCCTTTATGCGCCACTGGAGTTTGGCACTGAGGCTGGGGCTGCAGTAGTAGCTCCTGACCGTGATGCGCCTTTGTTTTTCACAGATAGGTCCGCTGGTGGTGGCATGGATTACTTTCCAATATATGAGGAGGATATGGCCCATGAGGATGAGGAAGACGTGGTGGGTATCAAGGGGAGGAAGCCTGTATGGGTGGATGAGGAGGAAGAAAGGACAGAGGTGGACATCGTGAAGGTTTCAAGGTTGAGGAAGCTGAGAAAAGAGGAAAATGAGCATTTGATTTCAGGGAAAGAGTATGAGGCCAGGTTGCGTGGTCAGCATGCCAAATTGAACCCCTTCACTGGCTGGGCTGATATGGACCGGAAAACTTCTCTTCCTGTTGTGTCAGATGGTGAGTCTGATGATGAGGGTTGTGTCGATAATATCCTTCAGAATAATGATGAGCTTGTTGTCAAGGATAATGTCAAGCTCTTACCTGGGATGCTGGAATTCTCAAGGCTCGTTGATGCCAATATCCAGGATCCATCAAGTGGTCCTATCAATTCAGTGCAGTTTCATAGGAATGGGCAACTGATGCTTGCTGCAGGTTTGGATAAGCATCTCAGGTTTTTCCAGATTGATGGAAAGAGAAACCCCAAGATCCAGAGCATATTTATTGGGGACTGTCCAGTACACAAGGCCTCATTTCTGCCTGATGGCTCTGAGGTGATCCTATCAGGCAGGAGAAAGTTCTTCTACTCATTTAACCTGGTGAATGCTGCTGTTAGCAAGATTGGACCTTTGACAGGGCGTGAGGAGAAAAGCCTAGAGAGCTTTGAGATATCACCTGATTCGAGAACCATTGCTTTTGTCGGTAATGAAGGGTACATCCTTCTTATTTCTGCCAAGACAAAGCAGCTCATTGGAACCCTCAAGATGAATGGAAGCGTGCGTTCACTGGCTTTTGCGGATGGTGGAAACCAGCTGCTGAGCAGCGGTGGAGATGGCCATGTTTACCACTGGGATCTCGGAACGAGGAAGTGCATCCACAAGGCTTTTGACCACGGTTCCCTGGCTGGCATTTCGCTTTGCACCTCGCAGGACAGCTCTTTGTTTGCCACAGGCTCCACCAGCGGCATCGTGAATGTGTACAAGAGGGACGATTTTCTTGGCGGGAAGAGGAAGCCACTGAAGACGATCGAAAATCTGACCACTGACATTGGCGAAATGAAATTCAACCATGATGCCCAGATCTTGGCGATCAGCTCAAGGAAAGAGAGGAATGGGATGAGGCTTGTGCACGTCCCGTCGTTCAATGTGTTCCAGAACTGGCCAGGGCCTCGGTTCAGCCTTCACTATCCACGGTGCCTGGATTTCAGCCCTGGCAGCGGGTTCTTGTCTGTCGGACATGCAGGTGGAAAAGTCCTGCTATACAAGCTTCACCACTATAAAAACGCATGAAACTAGGATGGTTACTTGGCAAAACCCAGTTTTGACATTACATTTGTACTCTTGAACACTCCATGAATCAAGTGTATGCTGATTCATTCCAGTCATTGTGCTTTACGCTTTGCTGCCACTGGTTTCGATGCTTGATACAAGCTGGCAATCTCATACTTGTCCTTTGTAGTCATACCAATGTTTTTGAGGCGCCACAGGGCAGGCGCGGCGCCCGACCCCCTTCACAACGCCTAGGCGTTTATGGCGGACGACGCCATACACACGTTGTAAGGCGCTGTAAGCTAGAGTTTTATATAGTAAGTGCAGCACATACATACCTGGTTTGTTCCCAATTCTGGAGCCCAGGTTCCTTTCTTCCCTTTCCAAAAGCTCTTCTCCCATGTAGCATCCATCCCCCTTGAAGCAAACTACATGACAATTCCAAAATTCAGCAATCTATGACATGAAGAAATGTAAATGAACATGTTACATTGTTACCGGCTGCTGAGAATTAAATAAGAAACAATACACAAGAGGCAATACAACAAATTAGCAAGCATTAGTGGCTTAGTGCATTAGTTCATGCATGAGCATGACAAATGACATCATAGTTTGTCTCTAATAGTCCACAAACTTAGAGACTGAAAGTCTGAAGTACTGGACTCTAAAGCATTCTAATTACTAGTCAATTACACCAAAGCCATACAACATGAGTGCAGGACAAGGGTGTAGGACACAAAAGGGCTGAGTGCAAAATCTGCTTTCAAAGACTCAAAATCCATCATCAAACTCATCAAGATCAGCAGCGTCGTCTTGATCGAGAGCAGTGAACATTGCCGACTTCTTCACACTCGCTCACTTCTACATCATCATGTGGGTCTTCAACCGTCTTCCTCTTCGCCATCTTCAAAGAAGAAGCAGCAGCAGGAACATTTTTCGGGCGTCTATATCTTGAACAGAGCAACAGCTCTCCTAGGAAGGTTACGACCCTGCAGTAGCTTGTGATGCACCGATGGCTTCATCAACATGTTGCCATGTGAGGTCATCAACAAAGATCAGACCCTCGAGCACCCGGAACAGGCACATGCAATGAATCAGCCCATTCATTGTCCCAATCGAACTCCTCAATGACCAAGGGGTCATATTTCTTGCCTGCCTTCTCACACCTAAGTGAAACCTTGTTCTCATCTTCCGATTGTATGAAACAAAGACAATATCATTCAATCTCTCAGCAAAGCAGCCTATTCCTTTTCTTTGTATGCATCTACAAAAAAAATCAAATGGGAAGCAAAACAAAAAATCAGATTGTATGCATCTAAATATAAACTATTAGTCACAAGGATACTCACATGGTGAAGGTACTCCAACATCTCTCACATCCACGAGGATGAAGCACAAAGACTAACTATACGCTTAGCAAGTCTTTGTAGTTCAATGGCTCAAACCACCATAAGAACGCCATCAATCAACTGGATGAAAAGGACAACACATATTAGGTGTTTGGAATGCAATTAAGTTGCTGAAATTTACAAGTCGAGATAAACAAGACTTACGAGGATTCATTTTGTCATAGCTTTCCTTTGCCATTTTGTTTGAGAAGGCTTCTCCACGTTGCTCTTCATACTCAATGGCACGCCTATTGATCTTCATTTGTGTTTCCACATCCGGTATCATTCTTCCAAGCACTTCAATAAAACAACCTCTTAGCTGCCCAACAAAGTGACATCATCATTAGCTTTTATCGGAGGAAAAAAATTTCCGGGTTCAAATATAGTGCAGCCCCATACAATGGATGGTCCATTTGTTTCACCCAACGCCTCTCAATAATTTCCATGATCTTCTTGAGTAGGCCATCCTTGGTTGGTATATTGAAGCTTTGCTTTATCCTCTCTTTGCATGATTCATTAGAGCCCATACCTCCGGCATTGCGGGCTTCTCATCACCATCAACAACCCTCAAAACAATTAAGAGTGAAATTTGAAGCTCTTAGGCAATCTTCTCTTGAGTTCCAAAACTCGTTAGATAGCACAATGTCTTGCACTTGTTGACCTGCTTTGTAGTTGTACACAAGTTGTTCCCGATCCATGCTTCACTAACAAACAAGCTCTTCAAGGCATCCTTGTTCTTGTACAAACTCTTCAATGTCAGAAATAATGTGGAAAATCGAGTTTTTGCTGTCCTAACAAGATCACCCCCACTGTTTGAGCCCTCATTGCACTAAGAAGCCTTCCATGCCTATAAATGAAGTTGGTGACACGCTTAGCACGTGCAATAGGTTTCTTGAATGCCTTCAAGTTCCCAATTTCTTCCAACATCAGATCCAAGCAGCAATGCAAAGCACAAAGACTCCAAAGCAATGTGGGAATCCTATCCATCAAGATCTTACCAAAGAGCCTTATAGTTAGCGCCATTGTCGGTCACAACTTGAACAACATTGTCCCTTCCAATGTCGTCAATCTTCTCCCTGTAACAAATCAGCTAGCATTGTTGCACTATGAACTTCACTTGATGCATCAACCCGACTCTAGAAAGTCACGTTCCCTCGTGGTCTGTTCACAAGAAAATTAATCGGTGGCGCCCTCTCATATCGATCCATCCATGACATTAGTGTACAACCATATTGCTTCTAGGCCTGCTCATGGTCCTTCCTCATGTCACTTGTCACCTTAACACATTCTTGGAGCAAAGGGTCACCAAATTTCTTTGGTTAGTTGGAGGCTTGTACCTGAATCATATTGGGTTGTTGCCTCACAAGCAATTTCAAATTGCCTTGAATTTTCTTTGCATTAAAGGCTACACCACACTCCATGAACCACAGTGCCCATTGCATATCCACATATTGCTTCTCCTCCTTAGTCTTTGTGCTTTGGACTCAATGGTGGGCTAAAAGTCCTTTGCACGCCTTTGATCTACTATCTGTTCAGTGTTCTTCTAAGCATACCAACAACCGACTTTGTTGCATTGGTCTTTGGTGTCTTTGGTGTAGAATTGACACTTTCGCTAGCTGTTGAAGCCTTGAATTGGAAGATAGCATGCCTTTTCTTAGCGGCTGTCCCGAACTTGGTTTTTTTGCAGCCACTTTTGGTGTGGCATTTGTTGCTGCTGCTTTGCTTGTACATCTACAATTTGCTACCTCCACAATTTCATCTTACGGTTCCCCATCCTCCTCAATACCATCCAAGTACAAAGGCCTTCTTCTCTTCTTTTGCAAGTAAGCTTCCATCTCTTTCCCGATTTCAAGTGCTAACTTTTGGACAAAGGATAATATCTCCATATCCACCCGGCCAAATGTTGCTTGAACCTCTTTATGCCCTTCGAACCCTCATGTCCCACACAGGATACATGTCACCCAGTCTCTCCTAGCGTGGTCCCGCCAAGAGCCATATTTCTAGCTGGATCATTGGACTTTGCTTTCCTTGTTGGATCGATCTTGGGATCATACTGTGTACTTCAACCTGTGCTTGCCATGTTGCTTCTTTGGATCAGATCTTGGGATCAAAGAAAGATTGTGTGCTTTGTGTTGTAGCAGAGGTGTGTGACAGCCCAAGCACAAGGAGACATTTGTATATGTGAGTACCCATATAATATAAAAAGCAAGCATCAAAGAAAAGCAGAAAGCGCATAACAGAGTGTGAGAATAAATATTAGAGAAGGGAGGAGGCGGGGACGGGCATCCAAAGCATGAGCATACAATATTCGATTGAGGTCAATAGCAGAGCACGAGAACGAGGCATACAATATTCAGATCAAAAGCAGAGCAAAGCGAGCATACGAGGCATTACTATATTCATGAAGCGAGTAGGCGGGGGCATACCACAGGCGGCAGCAGCATGACCGGAGGCAAATCTGGAGGGTGGCTCGGTGGCGAGCGGAGGCGCTTCTTCTCGGTGGAGGCCGGCCGGTGGACTCGAGTGGCGGCATTTGGAGGGAGGCGCCCGCCGCCTTCTCTCTTTCTCTCCCGGTCTCCCCTCGCCCTGGGCAGCTTCTTCTCGGAAGGGGAGGCCGGCCGGTGGACTCGAGCTGGCGAGCGGAGGAGCAGCGAAGCGGAGCAGGAGGTCCGCCCGCCGCCTTCTCTCTTTCTCTCCCGGTCTCCCCTCGCCCCCCTCGCGGTAATGGCTCAGGCGGTCGATTTCCCGCGCGTAGGTTGCAATTCCCGCGCCCGCGCGGTCGATTTTCTTCCCTTCCCGCGCGCGTCCGATTTCCCGCGGACACGCACTCGATTTCGCGCCCTCCCCTGCGAATTAGATCATGGCGTCCGCTGGAGAGCTCTAGGCGTCCGCCCGACGCCATTCGTGCCTAGGCGACGCCTAATCTGCTGAGGCGGACGCCATACAGGCTGAGGTCGTGGCGAGGACGACGCCCAGGCCCTCGAGCACGCCTTGGCGCCTAGGCGACGCCTAGGCGACGATTAGGCGACGCCTCAAAAACATGGAGTCATACGCAAGTCGTTATGCTGCTATTGCTTTGTGGTAGTGGACTGGTGGTTGGTTGCTGAATTTAGTGTTTTTTTGAAAGAGATTTCAGAATTTCAGTTTCCTGTTGGTAAACTAGGCTAATATATGGAAGTAATCCTGGAGGCTGGAGCCATGTTATGTGAGTATACAGGGGTATGTTCATTGCATTCTGAATCTGAATCCTTTGGATTGGATGTATGCAAGCATCGTTATTGTTTTGTGCGCCATGTTATGACTTATAAGCATCATGTCGGCTGTTACCATCAGTAAGGATGTTAACTGAATTTCTGTGTTGTGTTGATCGTCCAATGCGGATGTTCACAATGTCGGTTGTTGCCATCAGTAAGGATGTTAACTGAATTTCTGTGTTGTGTTGATCGTCCAGTGCGGATGTTCTCTAAGGTGATGCGGTACAAAGTTTTTACGTACTGGACCTTTCATTGGCAATGGCAACGGTCCAGCCCGTACCAGTACCAGCCATCTTCCGATCAATTTTTGGAAGTAAAAAGCGGACTACAAAAGTGCACGAGCCCCTGAACAATTGCCAAGATGATCATTTTTTTTGGAAGTACTCAATTTTATCTTTCAATGTGATTGGAACGCAATCAATTGACACAGAACGGTACATCTCCATTTCTCAGTCTGAAGCATGTGAAGGTTTTGAAGGGTGCCAGAAGGGAAATGTCACCATGGAGGAACTGGAACGTAATACTGTTCCTGAAAATCTCTGAAGTTGGCACAGATTGATATCAAAGGAAATGCAGCTGCCAGGAACATTCCTTACCAAAATAGTTCAATGGTGAAATGTTCACCTGAGAGTTGTGCAAATTTGTAGTGTAAAAGCTCACCTGAGATTATTAATATATTTCTGGTAAAGTCAAGATTCGAGACTTATGTATCAGAGACACACCAGCTTGTATAATAACTTGGAGGATATGACTGAAAAATCATAATGGTTCACAATCACAACACTAATCGCGGAAAAGAACACAACTAATGTAGTCAACCTTTCAAAAGGATGCAATAAAAAAAATATCATTGTTTCTTATTTTCCTAATGATAGGAAGAAAAACTGTGAAATAACAGAAAATTTGATCAATAAGTCATTTTGCCTGCCAGCATCTTCATGTTCCATTTCCTCGATAACGTGTTAGTGTGCACCGAAACGGTAATGAGACAAGCCAGATAATCATCCATAGTCTATATGACTATATATAACAATACAATACAATGATAAAGCACCAATTGATTTTAATCAGACTGAAGGAAGGCTTGGCCATCATTCTATCATGCAATATGATCCTGCAGTCCTAGGCATCTTTTATAATGGCTCACAGGAAATTGTGTCCACCCCTGCCGACGAAGCTCCAACTTCGTTTCAATGACGGGAGCAGCAATATGAGCCTGTTCGTTTCGGCTTATACGATCGTGGATTATAAGCTGGAACAGTATTTTTCTCTCACACCAAACCAGCCAACAGTACTTCTGGCTTATAATCCACGATCATTTCAGCCGAAACGAACAGGCTGATGAAGATCGAGAAAAGACGGTGAGAGAGAAAACATCAGTCTGTTCGCTTGCTCGTATACAATCGTGGATTATAAGCTGGAATAGTATTTTTCTCTCACACCAAACCAGACAGCAGTAAATAATCCACGATCATTTACGACGAAACGAACAGGCTGCATGCTTTTTTTCTTGGACCCAGGTTCTATAGGTGAGAGCAACTTGTCGACCCTAAAGTGTGAAGGAGCAAGTCTTATCACACTAAAAATAGGTTGGAGTAGATCCTATCCTCACATTAAATATATAGGAGCAGTATAGATACGTCCATTACGAACGCTCTTAGGTCTCCTTAAAAATGAAAGATTTTTTTTTCCTACAGCAGCCCTAAAAAGATTGCTTTCTCCCTCACGAAGCGGAGACTCAGACTGCACTAGAAAATTTTTAACCGCCACGCGTGGACTCTATTTTTTTGACTGGATTCTCTCTCTTGATTGAATTAGCTTTATGCGGTCGTTTGAGTCGGTTTAAAGCAAGGACGATGATTCGGTTTCAAAGACTACCGGAGCCTTGATACGGGCAGTCGTTTGTCAAAGAGCCTGCATGTACAGAACTGCCATGTACACAGAGATGACGGCAATAAATCAGGATTAGATAAACCTGCTTAACTGAAATTGCAGAGGCAAGCTATTCAAACAAAAGCACCATCTCCCTTAGAATGCATGGATAACATATTTTACAGCAGGTCGCGCAGTGCAATAATCAGATGAAGCATTCATCAGCTAGATTTTTGGGTGCTCCAGTGGTGATGCGTCGCAGTCTAGACACATATGTACAAATCACCATACAAGTGGGTCAGTGGTGTCCCCATGACTTTGTGAAGATAACTCATCAGCAATGCGCAAAATGCTGGTGCTGTCTGCGTCTGATTTCCGCCTGCCAATACAAGTAGAAGTGCCTAGTGACGCTAAACCTGTGGAATTTCAACCGCTTCCACAAGGCAAAATGCAAAATACTGCATGACTAACTGAACCTCAGCTAAATTACTCAGTTTCATCCTCTGAGTCAGCAACAACCTGTGCAAGATCATCTTCAGAGCCAGAGAAAGTAGTGTCAGGCTGCTTGGAGACAGGCGTGGGCCTTTGCCTCAGTGTTTTCTTCGTCATTGGTGGAGGGGTGATCTGACCTGGATGCATAGTCCCTTCATCATTCTTCATGTTTCTTTGACTCCGACGGAGCCCTGGCCGAGGCTTGTCATTTGCCAAACGGGCAGCAAGACGGGTTCTCTTGCGCGGTACAAACACATCCACCTCTTCCATGTCGCTCTTGTAGGAATCAGAAGCATTATTTTCTCCGTCACTGTCAGAAGAGCTGGCATCCCTGTCATTATAGTCTCTGTCTTCCTCATCATCAGAGCTCAGGTCACTTAGATACTTGGCATCCTCCTGTCCTACATTTTTGTTGTTTTCAGAACTGATGTCAGATCTTCCATTGGCACCTTTGTCTCCATGATGTGAAGCACATTTCTCTTTTGTTCCTGCCTCATGTGAATCTTGTTCTTTTTCTTTCCTAAAAAAGGTACAGTACAAGTCTTTTCAAGAAGAATGCTATGTAGTTAACTAATAAAGGAACAATTGATAGAATTTCAAAAGATCATTTAGACATGAACTTATTGAGATTGCAATCCATAGTTCATATGTGATATTTCTTTAATGTTAAAAAGGCAACCTCAATTCCCACTTCCCAGAATTTTCTATACATATTTTATCCCCAAATATCCATCAAAAGTATGTGTCATGCTTTTACTATAAGAAGATAACAGGTGCTGATACTATAGATAAAATACTAGGGAGTGCTGGAATGGCCCGAACTTACTGTACAGCTCTTATCGCCTCCTCAATAGAACGATCATAATCGGCTGCACACAAAAGATATCCAAGATTAAGAAAAAGACAGTTGGTCACAAAAATGTCAATTTTATTCAAGCGTTTTTTGAACCCAATCAGAATAGATATTGGCAGCAACATGCAACAGATACCACAGATGTTATTCTGTGTTGCAGTAAGAATTGTCTACATCACAGACTCACAATTAATGGTTAAAGATAGTAGGAGCACGTTAATTTGGATGCATTTATAGAATGCCAATGGGATTCTGATCTGACAGAAGAAATGAGGGATGGAATTGCCACATGACATTCAGCATAACCATCAAGCTGACAGTTCACACCCCAACGATTCTTGGCCAGATAAAAGTGACCATAGTAAGTTTGAATGTTTGATGGCCTTTTGTGTTGATGAAATGATTAATAAAGAAGCTCCTTACAGAAATTGTAGCTGACAGGCCTACGTTCACGCAATGAACGGGTTTGGAAAGTGTTAGCAAAAGCTAAAACTTTGTCCTTCTTCTCCTGACGTTTTAAAAGCCTCTCTTTTTTCTGTAGAGACAAATCAGATAAATCAGCAGCACGAAAACAATACTTCATGCGAAGGATAATGCAGCTATTTCGAATATTATATAAGCATATGTGTTTTTAACACCTCTCGTACTAAATACTAATTACAAAAAACATAGGTGGAAATAGATAGGAACTTAGGAAAAGTATCAGTGGGTGTCTACCTTTTGAAACTTCTCCACAGCTGGAACAATTTCAGTCTTAAGATGCTCTGCAATAGCAGATTCAGCATGACCCTTTCTGGATAACTTCTCCTGTCAACATCTTATGTCAAATACAGTAGTAAAAATATAAGAGCACATCAAATATATATAAATAAGCAGAAGCCCTTACTGATATTTCAAGAAACTCGTCAAGGTTAGTTGCAACTGTTTCCCAGTAAATATTGGTAACTGGTTTTGTCAATCGGCCACCCTTCCCCTTCCAATTCTGCTTAAAATCAACAGTTACATCTTCTGTGTATAATCTATGGCCAATAGTTGAATCACCGTCATACCTAACAAGCAGGAGGATTTCATATGACAAGGTCAGGAAAAAAAAAGGATAACAAGGATTTATTGACTTATTTCTCTGGAAATTGTTAATGAAAGGATAGGAACTTTAAAATGAAAGACTCAAGGTCTAAAACTGTCAGATAAGACTACCACATTTGAAGCACATGTACATCCATAGAAGAGTTCTTAATGTATACATGTGAAAACTCTGGTTAGCAGCCATGATCTCAATTGAGAAGCACCATGCTAGCTATGCACAGGAGGCAGATGTAGGGTGAAAAAGAGCTGTGAAACTAGGATCAAATGGTTAAAAAAAAATCACTAACGCAGCATCGCTGGTTGCGCACCAAGTGTGGTTAGTTTGGCAAGAAAACTTGTAAAACTTCATTTAGATTATCTTTTCATTTACCCAGAAAAGGAAAAACATTACTTATGGTTCAGCATCTGGATCAGATCGACCAAGTTAACTAAGCATACAAAACAGGAACAACAGGATAAATATTAAGTATAAATTATACAACACTTTCAGCATATTCTAATTGTCCAGAATACTGCAGATAGCATCAAATTCCATTCTGAACTTTCTGTTCAAAATTTCCCAAGTCATCATATCAATCTATTTCACTTGCAGAAAGATATGTCATTGTTTCATTACATCACATTCTCTCTTACTGTTTTGAAACCTATTGAAGCGGAGCAATTTAAATTATGAATATCAGTACTTCATTGACTGGAGATGATAGATCAAGAATTGGGCAATGATAATGAACAGAAAATGACTTACCAGTATATAGTCCCACTACTGCCACTGCCTAGTTTATCTTTCCGAAAGTTGGAAATATGCGTTCCTTTCTTCATTCCATCATTAACATACCACACCGCATCATTTTGCTGCATGATAGATAATTTCAGTCAGGTTAATGTGCAGTAAAATACTATATTTTTTATTTATTAAACTAGCAAGACTGAGCAAAATTCTTAGCTTACTGAAATTTGACAAAAAATGAAGCATTTTTTCACAACCAGCATACCTCAGATCGGACTTCACAGAGCGCTTTTAGTATCAACAACCGCTTGATTGGATCTTGCTGCTTATACGTCTCGACTTCCTTCCTGCAAACGCAAATAGGTTGCAGCCATAAAATCATCAAAACATTAGACAAAATGCATTGGTACACCAACACATACCCTGGATTACTTCTGAATGGGTTTGCTCCTTCGGCAACCTGAAACAAAAATAATATCAAGATTTGGGCAAGGCAAACTCTATTATAATTATGTCATGGAAAAAGACCTATCTAACAACATACCCACGACCACCAATCTGTTAGCTTTTTGGCAGTTACTATAATCCATCCATCCTCATCATGTAGATGTTTGTTAACTGGAGGTATTCCCTGGCATATTTGGTAGCAAAGGTGAGCGAACAACATATCAAACGAATATGACATGGTCCAAGATAAAACTAAGTGGATGTTAATTGAGTCAGAAACAAGACAAATTGTGCTAAAAATGTCAAGTGACAAAATTTCATCCTTTCATATGCAGAACTAGAGTAAAGCATGGAGTAAAAGATGCAAAAATTTGGTAACTAATATGCAAACAAGGCAAGATGCCCCACATACGCACCATACACAAATGTTGACTATGTGTGCATGTTTGGTGTGCACAGCTAAGTTGTGTGACACAGAATGACAGATAGGTGGACACTACAGTTCGCAGAAGACCTTCACCATGTAACATAATAACTTCAGAAAGATGAACAAGAAACTTGCAATACACTGAAAAGAAGATTGGACCAAAAGAAAGGTGGCTACACATTTATATAAACAGTTAACAAAACCTGTGTTTTTGTTGTTTTAATTAAATCATCAGATAATCAGATGCTATCCCTTCAGACAAACCACCTTCAAAAGGGTAATGTGGATGCGAGCTAGGTCGCGGTTGTTGGACGCGAGGGCCATTTCGATCTCATCCGCGGAGAGCCGCAAGTCCGCCTCGATCACCGGCTCAAACACCTGAGACCCAAGCAACCAGAACCGGAATCACACCCAGCGCGGGCCGAAAAAAGCCGAATCGGCTCATGCGATCCGCGGATCGAGAGAGGAAGAAGAAACCCTAGGCTCACCCTGAGGAAGTTTAGCACGGAGGCGAGTTCCCAGCGGCGGCGGAGGAGGACGACGGGGTCCTCAGAGGAGGCGGTGGCGGCCTCTTCGGGAGCCGGCGCGCTCGGGGGCTTGGTCGGCGACGAGGCCTTGGCGCGCTTCGCCGGCGAGGCCATTGGGGAGAGAGAGCGGTGGGCGGGAAGGGGAGAAATTTTTGTGGGCGTGAGGCGGGCGGGAGATCGTTTAGGGGAAGGGAATGCTTGAGCGGCGGGCGGGGGGGAGCGAGAAGGCACTGGGGGGCTCCGGTCTCGGCGGTGGAAACGGTTTTTATCACTCGTGCGCGGAGGTCCTGTCATGAGCTTGACCGCGGTTGGACGTGCTAACATTCAGGCCCAACGTTAATCGTGTATGAATGATGCAGCACAATAGAAAGTTTATGGGTACTTGATAGGTGGTTTAGGTTTCACATAATCACATCTAAATATCTAATCAACAAAATCGTTTGGCTATTTTCAATGCCATCTAAACGCTACATAGTGGCACGTTGTTTCCATTTAATTGTCCATTTATTCTAGTTGATTAGTGTTTTGCCATAAATAATGCATAAACGGTTCGTGACCGGTAGTTTTAGCATTTACTCCTTCAATCCCAAATTATAAGTCATTTCAAGAATATTGGAGAATCAAATCATCTCAAATTTGACCAAATTTATATGATAAAATAATACTCCATCCGTTCCAAATTATAATACTCCATCCGTTCCAAATTATAGTTCGTTTGACTTTTTTACCCCAAGTTTGATCACTCGTCTTATTCAAAAAAAAATATGCCAACATAGTCAAATTTAAATCATTCTTGAATAACTTTTGTTAATAAAGCAAGCCGCAACAAAAGAAGTGATATTTTGCATAAATTTTTGAATAAGACGAGTGTTCAAACTTGAGGTAAAAAAATCAACCGAACTATAATTTAGAACGGATTTAGTAACATTTATGATGTCAACTAACTAACATTAGATTCTTTATTAATTATATTTTCATAGTATATTTATTTGATGTCATAAATCTTTGTAATTCTCTCTATAATTTTGGCCAAACTTGAGATGTTTTGACTCTCCAAGATTTCTGGAATGACTTATAATTTAGGATGGAGGGAGTAATGTTCATATAGGATAGAAAAACACCAATATATCATATAAAATATGCTAAGTTATCTCTTGTGGCTAAGCTCTGAAGTAAAGACAATGTCAAGTGATCGAGAGAAAAACAGGCTAGTGCTGAGACTTGTCTTTATGACAAGTGGGTCATCCGATTTGACGGAGACTTTTACGACAAGCGTCCTATTCGTTGAAGTAGTGCTGTAGAACAGAGCTAAGATTGACAAAAGGGTGGTGGTTTGCTACAAATATCATGTTACCTTATGCTCATTTCCTTACAACATTTATGCTACTGCACTTCCTTTCAATTCTTATGTGCCTTTGCCTTTTTCTAAAATGGCATGATAAATTAGAATTATAGAACTGGCTCTATGTTGCAGTACTCATTTTGCCATGTGTGGAACACAATAGCTGAATCTTAGTGCAGATCTACATAGGTAAATGGAGGCACTTTTAATTTATGGAGGCACTTTTAATTTTGAGCGTCCCCCCCCCCCACGCACCAAATTCCCTATAGTTATGTACAAGGGCACAAGTGTAACAAAACCACTAACCAAGCTGTGGATTTAGCACATAATCGGATTGTTTTCTACTTATTAATGAAATGACACGCAGCTCTGTTACATGTCCAAGAAAAAAATCCTGTAGAAAATAGTCATGGGAATCTTCTAAGCATCTGGGTAGATTTTTATTAACAATGTCTGTGCTTAGTTATTCATTTTGCGTTGGACGTGTGAACTCCTTTTGCTATTGGTAAGAGTATACTATATCAGAAGAGAAAGAAATGGTAATAAGTCCACATAAGCCGTCACCACAAAATTATGGAAGACACAGCTCAAATTTATCAAAGGAAACACAGTACCATAGAATGTATGCTACACGGCCTTCAATATCCAGCATCCATCGAAAATCAAGAACTGAATAAGTATGCTTGAATAGCAGAAGGTACACCTGATCCTATTAGCCAGAAAACAAGGAGCATTCAGTTACAACAACAGCCCTAGACCTAACGACGGAATGATTGCTGCCCACCACCAGCTGCAAAGTTAGGGGAGCCACCATATGTAGCTCCAGGTCCGCCGAATGGCACACCACCTCGTCGCCCTGACACGCTCCCAGGCACGTAGTATGATGATGCAGCTGCTGGGTTTATATATCCAGCATGAGCTGCAAAGTTTAAGGATCGTGAGATTGGGTTCTGGAAACGCGGACCAAAGTTTGATTTGAGCCCCTAGCAGCCTTGGCAGCAGGGAAGGGATAGGGTCCAGCTGCGCCTCGGGATCGCTTGTTCTGGAATCTGCTCGGGCCAGCTGCTTTCTTCTTCTCAGACTTCTCTTTCTCCAACTTCGCTAACTTCTTCTTCATGACCTCTATAGGAAACACTGATTGTAGCTGGCAGGACTCGACACACCTTATGATGGACCTGGACGCATTGCCCTCCAGGTTGTTTGCCTCTTCCTGGAAAAAAATTGAATCCAGCATGAGCAATTAATTACAATAACAGATAATACATAAAGGCATTCTTCAGAACCCAAGAGCAAAGTAGTCCAAATGACTAGTATAACTGCATATGAGATGCTATCAACTACAAAGTGGAGAAGATTTGGTGAAAATCCATTCAAAGAAGACGATGAACAAATCCAAGAAGAGAATATCAGGGTGGTGCACATGGGTTTAACAATGTCTAGGTCCATTAAAAAGGAACTACAAGTACTGTCATAATGAAGGTTTTAGCGCTGAAATTAATTTTCTCATTTCATCGGCATAAGGAGGACAAGAAGGAAATGTTGAGGATTACAACCTGATGAAGATGATGGGCAACTGAGAGTCTTTCCTGGGATGCTTTTTTGGGATATGTGTTGTTAGCTGTTTTTGTAACCAGTATTTCTGACTGTGAATTTATTCGTGCTTTTAGTCAGTTGTAACTGGCTTTAAGGCCCTGTTTGGTTGGGCTTTTGGCTTTGGCAGTAAAGACAAAAAGACTGTGGAATTTATTGCTTTTAAGGTGCTTTTTGTAAGTAAGCAACTTGTAGTGAAAAGTTGTTAACTGGCTTTAAGTATTTTCAAAGTTTGGAATAAAAAGTTTGTTGTTTCAAGAGAGATAAAGATAAAAGGTATATTTTATACTTGAACAAACCTTTCAGCTTTTTTCTGCTCAGAAATAAATAAGTATGTTAGTTTGGGAGTTTGCCTACGGCTGAATACAAGAAATAAATAAATAGACTAAATACAAGATTATACAAGACTCCTCAAAGGTATCTGGGAAGAAAAAAAGGCTCTGCTCATATTACATGATTTATTAAGCAATCAATAACAGAGTGATTGGAACAAGGGCAGAAGAGAAATACTAACAAGTGCAGAACTGGAATGTCTTCCACTTTTCAACACCGCCTGAGCCTTATCTGTGGAATTCCACAGATAGGATTTGAGGAGAGGTACAGGTGGAAATCTCTCAAGCAAATCAGCCTCATGGGCAACAAATATAGCCTCTATAACATTGCCTGACTTTATTAGTTCCTCAACAATACCTGAAAAGATTAGCACCAAGTAGCTTTTGTCAACTCTTGTTTCTCATTCAAAAATGTTTATTATTAGAGTACAGTTGAATTGAACAAAATACTAAATGAAAGTGTCAGATGTGACAAAATTCAACATAGATTTTAAGGAAAGCCTGGTTCACTTCTCACCTAAAAGAAGGAAAATCCTTCAATTTAAAGTATGCACTACCTTAGTCTGGTTAACAGACTCAGGAAGAACATACTGTTGAATAAAAAAACTAAGATTATAATAGATTATCTTAAACTTCAAACTATATTAGCTTCAGTAAATCAAGATGCACTCTCCAAAGACAAATTATTAAAAGCACAAACACAGTTGAATGTCTGCCAACTTCAGTGTTAACTGAACAATCGCGAACTCAAACCATGTTCTGCATACTAAGGCCACTTTGAAAATCAAAATCATGATGGCCTCAGTTCAATGAAATCCCATGGTAATTTCAGCAGTTTACATTTTTAAAATGCTCCAAATACTCAAAATATGGGTGCTGTTTCAGCACCAATGGTAACATTATCACCAAGCAAATTTCAGCATATTTCACATGGTTATTTAGATCCAGAAATCAAAACACCAAAGCAAGCATACAGAGACATTAAATAGGCTGACAAAAGGATTATCTCAATGAGGTGTTCAGATGGACATCCTAAACCTGACACAAGATTATGAACACATATGTCCCATTCTTAAACAAAGATTATCGATTTGTTAAGTAAACTTAAGAAATAGCTAGAATAACAGTATGCAATTTTGTTCTAACAATCTAACAGCAATAGTTCTGCAAATACCATACAATCACAATTCAAAGAACAACAATCTGATCCTGAATCAGATAATAAATATAACTTATAGCATACTTAATAAACAAGGTTAATAGATCATCACCTCCTAGGCTTTCCTCAAATCCAAGCACACACGCAAACCTAGCAAGCTCCCTCTTCCGTCCATTAGCAACAAATAGCCTTCTCAAGAACTCCTCCTCGAACTTGTCCTTCAATCCAAATGCCGCTACCATCTGCACAAATATCTGTGCCTCTGGTTGTTCTGGTGCACCCTTATTACCTTCCTCTCCTTTATTCCCCTCCATGGCGCCCACTGCTGCTCCCTTCTTCTCATCCTCAGGTCCTATTTTCTCTGACCCTTCTCTCTCCTCAGACACCCTTCCCTCTGCCCCTTCTCCCTCCTCAGACACCTTTCCCTCTGCCCCTTCTCCCTTCACCTCATTCCCTTCCTTCTCTAATGCCTCAGGCTCCTCTACTTCCTCTGGGTCCTCCTCGTCCCCTGACACAAGGGCTGTCTTCTCAGGGTCCTCCTCTTCTTCCTCCTCCTCCTCCTCCTCCTCCTCCTCCTCCTCTTCTTCTTCTTCTTCTTCTTCTTCTTCTTCTTCTTCTTCTTCTTCTTCTTCTTCTTCTTCTTCTTCCACCACCACCTCCTCCTCCTCCTCCTCCTCCTCCTCTTTTCCTTCTTTCTCTTCTCTGTCGCTCCTGAATTCCCTAACCCATCAGCTTCGGCCATCTCTACCTCTTTGTCCTCGGAAGACAATTTGTCCATATTGATCCCAAAGCGCTCTCGCCACTCTTTGGTTACTGCAAACGCCCTCTCAACCAATGTATCTCCTATCTCGGGACTCGGGAGGCTTCCGGCCATTGGAATCCAACAACGAGCGCAACAACATGCCGAGCACCCAGCATTGGTCCTCGCCGACACCACTGCCAGCGGCTAAGAAATCGCTTACCACGTCGAGGACAAGGCGGGGCGGGTCGACGGCCATGGCGACAGCGGGGCCGGCCTCCTTCCGGACCACGGCGAGCTCCCGGCGGTGTGCGGCCATGAAGCACCAGAGCGCAGCAGCGTCCATGCGGCGGCATATCCACCGGAGCGCGCCCTTGATGTCGGTGGGCGGTGGCCCCGTGGATTCAGTCTCGGCCTCAGCGACGGCGGACTCGCGAGCCTCGAGCGCCGCGAGGGACTCGGAGGTGGAAGCGTCGGCGGCGGCTAGGGCTTCCTCGAGTGCGGCGGAGCGGGAGGCGAGGTCCTCCTCGAGCGAGGCGAAGTGTGCGAGGGCGCGCGACCAGGCGCCGTGGCGGTCAGCGAGGATCTGCTGCTGGGAGTCGAGGTGGGCGAGCAGGCGCCGGACCTCGCCCGCGGCGGCGGAGTCCTCGGTGGTCGCCATGGCGGTGAGGGCTGCGGGGAGGGAGGATGGGGCCAAATTAGAAGAGGAACAGTCTAGATGGACTTGTTTCGTTGCCGTGGACATGGAAGTGGGCTTTGCTCTCGATTTACACTAGGGCTCCAATGGGCTAACTTATGTTAACCGGATTGGGCTTAGCTGGCCAAGTCGGTTTGGAAATTTAATGAGCTCAGGAAGATGGACATACTTGTTTCCCTAGTTTTCTAAAAAAAAAAAAAACTTGTTTCCCCAGTGTTTGACGTGTTGTGTATTACTCCCTCCATCTCTGAATAAATATATTTCTAGAGTTATATAAAGTCAAATTTTTTAAACTTTAATCAAATTTTTAGAAAAAGTATGTCAAGATTTACGACATTAAATTAAAATCATTAAATATACCATAAAATATATTTTCATAATAAGCTCATTTTACATCCTAGATGTTGTTGCTCTTCCTATAAATTTAGTTAATCTTGAGATAGTTTCACTTGTATGGATTTTAGAAATTGATTTATTTAGAGACGGATGGATTATTTTTATCTATCTATATAAGTCGGCTAGGTTTCCACACAAAGGGATCAATGCATTAGGCATGAGTAGTGGTGAGATGGGATGTAGCCATGACGATTGCCTCTAAACAAGGGAGTGTAGCCCACAACGTCATCATTGTGAAAAGGTTTTTTTTCCAAATGACCCCTCGTCCAACTTGAATTTGCAAGCGGGTGCCACCATGGTACCACTGCCCATAGATGTCACTTCTGAGCACCAAGCCATCTAGCTCTCTTCGATCTAAAGCGAACCTAGGAGAGGATAGATCTAGTAGTTAGACAAGGAGCAAAGAATCGCCTGGGATGCAAGCACTAGAGGAAGAGACTAGAAACAACCACCATACTTAATGGTGCAAGAGCCACGTTAGAGAAAACAAACTGGCCACTGGTACGTAACTTCAACCTCCATTTTCCACCACTGTAGCCCTCCATTGATGTAGCCCCACAACCACTAGGGCATCAACTCATAGCTACTCCCATCCATGGAGCATCTGGTTGCTAAAACCGCCTATAGCACAAAACATCCCAAACATGGCCTCTGTCATATGCCAAAAGCCTAGGAACAACATCCAACACCCCACACTTCCACATCCTTGGCTACACCTAGAACATTGTGCCACCACATCTAAGGATATATCCAGTGCAAATTTTGTTGAGGATCTACTCATTCAGCCAAGGGAAAGGGTCGATCTAACCACAACAAAATAGATCAATCTTCAGCTTAGGGAAATGGGGAGGTTGAGGGGAAGAGAAGTAGTGCTCCAATGTCATCGTCCTTGTAGACATGGAGTTCCTGTACACGCACCAATAGTGGTGAAACGGCTAAGAGTAAGGCAAGTGAGGGGACAATCAGTACTAGGAATCCACCAATGTCAACTGAACAACATGTAGTGACAATGCAAAAGGTCCAATTATTAGTGATGTCTCTTCTAGGCACTAGCGCAATTTGAAAAGACAAATGCTGTCACTATCCAAATCCTCCAACAATTTGGAAAATAAAAATTCTGGCGCTGTCTAAATTAACCGTCCAACTATGATTCTAAAAAAGATAAGATAGATCCTCTAGTTCTAACCGGGAAGTGCAAGTGATCTATACATGCTATCTTTCTCAATAAAGGCAACTACTCTATTCTAGACTTTGCATGAGTTTTATGCATAGGCACAACCATCTATTACCATAAGTCTAACCAATGAAAAGTAGAGTGCGGGGACGTGGGAGTGTGGGGTGTTGGTCGTAGTTCATTGTAGTTCATGTAAAGTAGAGTAGGGGATGGCCATCCCCTATTGTACATGAATTTGCACAACCATCTTGTCGGGGACCAATACTAGGGTACACGAAGAGGAGGAGCTAATGATCATCAACATTGATTCAACCGAGCAGTCAAGAGCGCGCCTACAGCTCCAACCGACCCCACGAACCCCTAGGTGCGTGGGATCCACTCGCCTCGACCCCGAGGCCACAATCTCCGATTCGCCCAACCTCCAGGGGCGGGCTCTGCCTCACCCGACCCTAAGGCCGCCATCTCCGTCTCACCTAACCCTTGGGTTTGTGCTCCGCCTCACCTGACCCCAAGACCACAGGCTTCGCCTCGCCAGACCCCTTAGGTGTGGGCTCTGTCTTGCCTGACGGAGACCCATACTGCCGTTAACCACTCTAGATCCAAGCGTATGGGCCTGGGTCAAAAGTCTGACACCAAAGAAGAGATCGACACGCCCTAATGTAACCTACGGCCACAACGGGCCATACCTGAGGATTCACATCAAGAACAGCGTCGGGCGTATCGGTGTTGTTCTGCCTAACCCTCGTACGAACACTGACAGGCGCGTTAGTTCACCACGATGTCCGCCAGGATGGAGTGGAGTGTCATGACTAGCGGATGACACCTACGCATGGCGCGAGGGACGAATAGGACCACGACGTGGAGCCGTCCCTATTGACATCTACAGGGTCAGCGGGACCCGTATGAAGGAGAAGAAGGACCTAGCGATCCTGGAGGCCTTCCTCTCTCTCGTTCTTCTCCTTTTCCTCTGCTATAACCCGCGCTTTCCCTTGGCCTATAAAAGGGAAAGCAGGGCGCCCCATGAAGGGGATCCCGAGCCGATCGACCCATCAAGATCCGATACAGATTCGCACAAGAGCATGACATGAACGCACATCCGAGCAGCGATCGAGCTCTCAGCACCCACTCAGTCCTTTCACCAGAGACTTGGGATCCTTTCTCTCTCTCGCTCGTTTGTAACCCCTACTACAAACTTTCAGTGCTAGTAACATGAGCAACATCAATGAACTAGACATAGGGACTTTCTGCCCGAACCAGTATAAACCTCGTATCCTCTAAGCACACCATCCGAGCCAGACGCGCAATACTAGAAATTTACTCGTTGGTGGTAACTCGAAACACCGACAGTTGGCACGCCAGGTAGGGGCCTTTTTACACGTCTTGACATCCACACCAGGCCTCGGATGGCTATTTATGACGTCAGCTGGGTCCCGGGCGCGCACGTGCACTTCAGGAACCTAGACTTTATCGTCATGTTAGAGGGAGGGTTGGTGCAGGCTTCCACCACCGTCCAACCTCTCCACTTCATCGGCCTTGACATGATCGTCGAGGCGCTTGAGGAGCTACAGCTACACGCACCGGAGGCCCGCACTCTCGGGAGCGACCAGCTCCTCGGCTTTGATTACAGGAGGCTAGAGCGCCAGCTCGGCACCTTCCTAGGACCCCGACCATCCTGGGAGGACTTGCGCCACCTCACCTTCTCGTTCGCCAAAATCATGACATAGCTTGCCAGGAGGAGAGCCACTCTCCCTGGAATACCTCACCCGGAGTGCCCCGACAACGCTCCTGTCCGGTCTCTGTAACACCGCAGAGATCGTTGGCCACCCTGTGGCGCAACGCACACCTCCATCCCCCAGGAACGATGAGTTCGTGGGGATGACCGAATATGTCACGGAATCTTTCCACGACCTTCTCGTGGGAGAATCGAGGTCGCCCTCTGACTCTGACTCCAGCGGGGGGAGTCATCACCCTTCTCGTGAATGTTTCGTGGCAGGTACCCCTAAGGGACACGTCGAAAGCATCCATGAGGGAGAGGCTACCCCAACAAACGACCTCGATGATGAGGTCAAGATAGATGTAGGGTTCCCACCTCACCTATGGGTGGAGCAGCTGAAGGCCCCTCACCAACAGCTCGAGGAAGCACGACTTCAGCTCAAGCAGGAACGCGGGGAGCTCAAGCAAAAGATCAAGCGCAACGGAGACGGCAAGCGTACGCGCATCGTGGTCGGTGACGTGAACTAGAGGATCATCGAGGATGATGAAGCCCTCCCACACTTCACCCGGGCGAGCCAAAACATTGCTGCTACGGCGGCCTTGCTCTGGGGGCTTCCGAGGCCCGTGACGTTCGAGGATCGTCGGGCCCATCGTGAGATTCGCAAGCTACTCGAGCGTGCGGCGGCGCAACAGGCTGAGAGTTTGTTGTCCCGTTGACGCGAGCTCAATGCCAGCCAGCGCGCACCCTCAAAGTGACCCAACATGGACGTATCACTCCACCAGGCATAGCGAGGCGACATGCCATGCACCGTGGTACCGATGCACGAGCGTCTCGGCCGCAACCATGACATGCGCGACACCTTCGATGCCCGCAGGCGACACGCGTGACACCTTCGATGCCCGCAGCCATGGCTACCAAGCTCGTCATGGCGGATGCTACAACAGCGGTGAGGATCGAAGCTTGAGCCCTGACTTGCCGGGACCTCAGGCCTTTGGCCGACACATCCTCAACGCTGCCTTTTCACTGCGGTACCGATCACCGACCAATATCCCAAAATACTCCAGGGAAACAAACCCTAGACTATATCTCGAGGATTATTGGCTTGCTTGCTAGGCTGGTGGAGCAGATAATGACGATTTCATTATCCGCAACCTTCCATTGTTCCTAGCTAATTCGACGTGAACGTGGTTGGAATACCTTCCACCCAACAGAATCCAAAGTTGGGCGGACCTGAAAGAGATCTTCGTGGGAAACTTCTAGGGCACATACGCGCGTTCTAGGAACCCATGGGATCTCAAAAACTACAGACAGAAGGCCGAGGAAACTCTTCATGGGTATATCTGGCGCTTCTCCTGGTAGTGCAACGAGCTGCTAACATTGCCGACGTCGACGTCATAGGAGCCTTCCTATCTGAGACCACCTGTGAGTCCCTGGTTCACAAACTGGGACATAAGGGCCCACGAACCACCAAGGAGCTCCTCGACATCGCCACCAGCCATGACTCGGGTGAGGAGGCGGTCAGAGCGATCTTTGACCGCCTCAAGGGCAAGGCAAAGTAGGATGAGGACACCGGCAAAGGCACCTCCAACCATCCCAGCAAGAAGAAGAACAAGCAGCGGTGCGAGGGCTCGCTCGTGGTCGTCGCCGACCACAAGGGGGTCAGAAGCCCACCGAGGGCAC